TGAATTTTGAACATTGTACTCCCCAACAATAGTGCCAAAAACCTGATGTGTTATGAGCTCAGTTCACCAAAGTGCACATGTCAATCGAGAAAGTAAGTGGTTGAATACAAGATTAGTTCCAAAAGAAAAGGGATCCAGATGCCAAATCAATTTAATTACCAGTCCTACTTCAAACTAGATTTTATCCAGTTGGTTAAAAAACTTAAAGAATACTTCTAAGAAAATGAAAAGACTATTTTAAAGGTTTTTTAATTTATAAAAATTTATTGAAGTTGTGCATACTTAAATTTTTTATAATCCACATTATGTTTTCTTACAGTAGATATCAATCAAGTACATATCCACTCCTTGCACAAGTTAGATAACCATTCCCTTACTTGTACTCATTCCACTCACTCACACTTCACACACACACTTACTAAGTTCTCCTTAATAGTTTACACTCCATCTTTTTTGTTCCATGGCATTCAAAAAGACATCTAGTTATTCCATCCCACTCAATAACCCCCTTAGGTCCACTTCAACACTGAGCAAAAACTACCTTGTCGATCATGACACTGTTGCATCTTGATGGAGCAATGTGACAACATGCAGTGCGGTGCTCAATAGTTATGTGATAACATTGAGCTCTCAATTTGTTGGCACTAACTCCATCAATTGATGGCACTACTATGTTGCAGCAGTACAATACTTGAATGATGGTGCATAAAATTAAATTAGAGAATTCAATTTTATTAAAGCAGTCTCACTAAGTCATTGTCGGTTGACTTAGGTTAGGTTGATATTCTGGTCATTATAAATCATTTAAAGAAACTTACTAAAGATTCTTATACTAGAAATGGAGCCTAAAGTCTAAGTTGAAATTAAATGCATAATTATTAACCTCATAAAAAAATTGGGTTTATTAACAAATACATAATAGCTATGATGCACTAACAAAAGTAAACTGCATGACATTGACTAAAGATATTAATAAGTGACTAAAGATATCAATAAGTTCTAAAAGAACCGTCACATGAAGATACTTATAAAATTGATTTCATTCAATATGATTTGATTTGACTTAAATTTTAAGATTTTTAGTTTCTCAATTGTAATTTGATTCAAATTGAAATTTTATGATTTCACCTTAATTCTTTTTTCTATGATTTTAATTTCATGATTTATGTTTGACCAAAAACATTAATGTTCTAAGACATTTGAACCTAATAAAGCAAAAATTAATAGATAAAAGTAGACAAGGATTTCCTAAAGATAGGTTATTGCAATTCTAAGAAATACTAAGTTAGGATATATTTTAAGAATATGATCATACCTTGACTTATTAGTCATAAAAAAGTACCCTTATTTTTCAAGTGAATATATCATGAAATAAGCATATGAAGCTTGATTATAATATAGATGAACTAATTCATTAAAAGGAATGTGCCATAGAATTTAGCTTTTTTAAGACTATAAATATGAGATGTCTAAACTAAGTTCTGACTAGACCTAAGAATTTATTGTAGAATGATTGTGACACCCAAAGAGAAGCGTGAATAGAGGTTTTAATAAAAAATTATTAATTAAATTATTTAGTATTACTTTACTGCTATGTTATATGAATATTAGCCAATACAAATAATAAAATCTTGCAAGTACATAACAATATACCACAAATGCATGTAAAAATAAAAAAAAATAGCAAAACAAAATATTTTTATGTTGTTTGATCTACCAAGCATACATCCACACTAGCCAAATCTTGGGCTAACAGTCTACTAAATCCCAAGTTTGCCAATAGACCTCACCTTTTCAAACTAGAAATGTTACTTGCAACCTAATTCCCTTACACCAACAAAGCATAATCCTATCTAAATGTAAGGACTTTCATTAAGCAAATTGGCTTAAAAAAGGACAATATTTTATGGATGATGCAAGCTAAAACAATTTTGAAACATAATAGTTTAAGGTAAATTTGCAAAGTATCGCTAATCACCTCACAACTTGCAAATGGAATGTAAATTTTTCACATTATAAAACAATTAATATTTCGGTTTATGTAACTTGCAAACGAGGAATGTAAATTTTTGCTCATTTTAAAATAAATTAATATTTTGGCTTATGTAGATAATATTACTATGATTTTAAGTTGAAAGAATTAAGCTCACTGTTTTAAATTTTCAGTCTTAATATTTATTAAGTTTATAAGTAAATATATATTAAAATAAAATAAGTTGCTTATAAATTATATGGATGAAGAAATTTAATCACATGAAACTTAATCTATAATGCTCAAAATATACATCTTCTAAAAATAAAGGTTCTAAGAAATATGAAAATTATAAGAGCAATAAATAAAAATTTAAAAGAAAGAAAACAAACCCAAAGGCTTCAAAAGAGTTTGATTGTTTGAGTGTGTTGAGAATTTTTAAATCAAGAAATATAACCTTGTAAATATGGAGCACTTAGAATGAGAATTTGGAGTTCTCTTCTTAAAATTTTTGCTTAAAAGAAAGAAGAAAGATGAGAGTATATGCTAGAGTTGTTAAAATTCAAGAGCAACATTTACAAGAAAAAATTAGTACTATTATAGCCAAGGAGTTCTTTTGAACCAATTTTTATGCATAATTGTATTATAACATTATTTTATCAAATAATAGTATAATATTAATAAAGTTAACTTTTATTTAGGAATTATTTGTTCTAAAAGGTTCTCTAATGTCTAGACAAAATAAAAAACAACAACAATAACAAAAAGCTTTTATCCCCCTAAGTACATGAATCATTTTTCTTCATTATCTCCATTGAGTGTCATTTTTCATCTAATTTTAATACAATAAGATAATTTTTTTTATTCAATATGCCCAAGTCTTCATAGATCTATTTTACCATTCTTAACATTTAACGGATCTAAAATATCTACTGCTAACTAGATCATCAGATGGTCGACATTTAAAGTCACCAAACCTATAATCTCCTAGACTAAAAATAAAAGTCATAATTTAAATTGCTCCAAGTGAGTGTATAATGGCTAGTCAGCTCTGCAGAACAAAAATGATGTTTAAAAAATCATATTAAATCCAATTCTATTAAAAAGAAAGTCATGTAACCTAGCAAATCACATATACCAAAACCAGTAAACCCATATATGTTTTTAAGTAGATATTGTTAAAACTACAAATTTATTTATTTTTATGACAATTCTTAAATGCCTTAATTTATATCCAAATAGTGTTGAATAAGCTATTTAAAAACTCATACTTATAAAAAAATGTATAATAGAAATTTTAATATACTGAAATAAAATACACTTAATACTTTTAATATCCAATTTTGTTAATTTGATAAATTTGATGCTTTGTATGAAGTGCTTTTAAAAAATATTCAAATTATGAAAAGTATAATTAAAAATTTAAAGTATATTTCAATTTTATTATTTTTAACTAATAATATACATAAATATTAATTGAATTTTTTTGACTGCGAACAAAAACACACCATGCAAGTAAATTCTTAATTATCTACTAAGATTCTTCTAGATGTATATCATACATAAACCTCTATTCTATTCATCTTGATCCATCTTGATCCATCTTGGATTCTATGCTTAAATCTTGATTCAATTTCTAATTTATACATTCATAAAATCAATATATGTGAAATACTTAATTCATATATTAGATCATCTAAGCATAAATTTTTTATCATTAAAATTGAAAGTATAAGCCTCATAAAGTCAACAATGTCCCATTTTCTTTTATGACAAACTTATGTTGAGTTTAGTTTCAATGAAAGCATAAAAAAAAACCTTTTAGCATAATTGTAGTAGAAAATTTTTTTTTTCTTCCACTTTTATTGGTGCATGAAATAAGTAATAATTTTCTCACTAAACATTTGCATGAAATTTATCGAAAAACCTTTTAGCATAATTTTCTCACTAAACATTTGCATGAAATTTATCACCAACATATACTTCTTACCATATAACTTTTCTTCCTCTTTTGACATCATCAAAAATAAAATTTCATTTTTAGATTAAACATTAGGAGCTAACATACCAAGCATGTCTTAATGTGCCAAAATTTTCTTCTACTAATTATTTTATAAAAATGTCTATAATTTTATGAATTTATCTTCACAAATTCTATATGGATCTCTATTAGGAGCTAACATACTAAGCATGTCTTAATGTGCTAAATTTTTCTTGTACTAGTTATTTTATAAAAATGTCTTACTTATGAATTTATCTTCACAAATTCTATATGGATCTCACCATGGCTAGCATGACCTCAAATAAAACACCATTGCTAGCATGACCTCTAATAAAATGATGCCCATTCTCTATTTGTTTTGTTCATGAGTGTTGTCTTAAATTCTTGGCTAAACTTATGTCTTTATCGCACTTGATTTGTCTTTATTTTAGCTTATTTAGCAGATCATGGAATTAAAAAAGAAATAGGGCTATCTAGAGACGTTGCATTTTGGTTACGTGGTGCGATCAGAGTTCCAAAGTGCAGTAAATAAAAAGAATTCCTGTTTACCATAAAACAAACAGAAAACAAAAACCTAACACATCCTAAAAATAGTACATATAATTTTAATAAAATAATGTCTGACAAAAAACACACAGGAGAAAATTTTATTTCTGGAACTTGCCATGTGGCAGGTGGATCCCATTATAATGCATTGGTTGGGTAAATTTTTAAAAGAGTGGGGCTCACTTAACACGTGACATCTTATTACCAGACTCCGGACGCAAACCAGATGTAAAATTTTTGCCAAACACAGGCCCTAAGAGCATCAACAAGTGTCATACACTCCTGCAAAATTATGGCATATAAATGTATTATCATCCTCTCGAAGTATGCTCGTCATGACAATGTGAAATAAGACGAGCTTTAAATCATAAAGAGTAGTGATGAAGGAGAACTTCACCTTAAATCAAACACCACCTCATCAGCCAACACACACACAGCACTAATTTAATAAGGATATGACAGGGACCCTTACAGCAGCAATAGTGAAAGCCACGAGCCACGAGCCAGATAACTCGTGCTCAAAGGATGATTTTATTAAAGTTTCATAGTAAAAATACAACATATATAACACATAATATAACATGTTTCTCTTTCTAAAGAGCTTTAAACACATAACAGCTCTCATCATCTAAAACGCTTATTTCTCGAAGAAAGAGATCAATGAGCAGCAGATAGCTACAATTTGCAGTTCTGATATTATCACGTCTTGCTGAAGCTAATTAAGTAAGCCACCATCAGAAAGAACTAGGAACACTACTCAATCGATGTCCTCAAATATTGTGGAGAGGACAAGCCCCTGAACAAAATCACACTTCCGGATTCTTTCCTCCTGCTCCTTGTCAGATAAACATTGTATGGAGCTGGATAACGTTCAGAAAACATAATTTGTTAGCTCGCAGAACAAGATGCGCGTCAAAACACAAAGAAAACCAGTAATTACATGCCAAAAAACGATACTTGGTATTTAGCACCAAGTCTTAATGAAAACAACAAATTTCCCTGTGCTTGCCATGATTTATAAGAAAACTGTGCAGAAAAAAACACCAACTGACAATAAATTGTGAATGAGCATGGTTCAAGATTTTGACCAACAATTACAAGAGCAAGAGTTCAGAAAAATAGTTACTAAACTTAATTCAGCAAAAATTAATCGACAGTGTGAAAAAGAAAATCATAGAGCAGAAACTTCCACAAACTAAAATGAAAAGTGATTAGCCGGCCACCACTACAGAGTAACGTCAAAAGATCTAGCAGTTTCTCACATAAGCTATTTTCATAATCCTGACTTATTTTTTACTCAAAACTATGGTCACCAATCAAATACTCTTAAACCACTTACAAGAATTTGCTTTGTTATATTCCCTATTATTACAAACATCTCCTACCAAATTGAAAAGATTGAAAAACAATTTGAAATTTACATGTCAACATAACCGTTCATCTATTATATATAGAATTGGTCCTATAACAAGTCAAGTACAATGCACCCAAACCTGATTTAAATCATGCCAGATGGAGCCCGCCAATCAAACACCGGTTCAGACCAAGAAAAAAAAAATACTGGGAACTTAAAATATTGTAAATGAAAATACTAGGTGGTTAGAGAGATGGTCATGTTGTCATAAATTGATGCTCAGTTAGTTGAAAATATAATAACGCTCGAAACGAAAAAGGTATTCAATTCTTAAGATCTCAGCAGTGCTAGATGCAGGGAGACAGACCATGCTCGTTAACACAGGTTATAATAACGAATCAGGATTGGAGGGAGAATAAGGCAATAAGAAAGGCAAAGATCAATGATGGAAAAGCATTGAGAATGATTCCCACTGGTGTAGTTACTTATTCATGAAGGCAAAATTAAAGCCACGGTGAAAAGATCTAGAAAGATGAAGACAAGAGGTTAGGCAATGCTGACTACAGGAAATGTCACCTTGCCAAAAATTATTTTTGAGATGGATTTTAAGGTGAGACTGAATGAACAAAGTTAACATTTGCACCTGCAGATGGAATCAGTTGATACTTAAATAGTTCAAAACAATTCAGTTTAATTCTACTTTGAGTCCAATTTACAGGAGTGCTCAAATTAACTGGCAAGAGAATGATTCCAATTCTAATATCCTACTTGCCTTATTTGGCATATAGTTTATCTATAGCATTCCTATAATCTCTGACTTCATTTTCAAAAGTTCTATGATGAAATGAATAGATATTAAATCTATAAATTTTAACAATTATTATTGATAGTTTTCTTAAAAAATCCCGAATTTTGTCAAAATTTATCTACTAGATTTATGAAAAATCTAGAAGTTAAATTCCTTAAATACCCTCATTTTTAACACCATCCATTAGATTCGATTACAATTTCCATTAGTGTTAACAAAAAGTGCATTTTGGCTATTATTTTATAAATACAAATACTAAATTGGGCCTTCTATATATAATATGATATTAACATAAGCCATGATTTATCCTTTTATTCTGTTAATGAAAAAAAAGAATGCGCAATATGTAAAATAGCAAGAATCATGGATGTTAAATATCAAAACATATTAACATAAAATCCCAAATGAATTGCAAAGCAAAAGCATGTAAAGAGTTCATTTGGTAAATTTTAACAGATCTAAGCTCCAGGATTGACCTATGTCAATGCTGTTCTACGGAAAGGTAAAATATTAAACCAACGCTCATCATACTTCTCGCACTTATGAATTATTATCTCATACCAAAAAAAAAAAGAAAAAAGTGGTCCTAAGAAAAAAAAAAGAAGAAGCTTGGTAGGTATAATATTAAATAATTGATAAAAGAAATAAAAAAGGAATATCTAATGCATAGGGCTCTCATCAACATAAGGTACGAGGATTTGTTACAAACAGCATTATCTCTAAATTTGCAAATAAACTGTTTCCATACCTGGGAGCTCTTGCAATTAGCATCTCTTAAAAATAATACTAAATATTTCTTAAAAGAAAATAATGCTAATCAATTTCCCGAAACTATATCATTCTACAAATTGTAACATACCCAGAAAATATTTTAAAACCAAAACAAAAGCCTTTTTCAATAAAAAAACAAAAGACGAATAATTCAAAATATGACATTTCAACTACCACACAATTAGCCACTTCGGTTTATCAATAAAAAAAATTCAATCAACAAAATGTTTAATTGATTGTCTTCGCAAATATTAGTCGACTTAGAGGAGTGAGTGTCTTAAAATCAAAGCTAGAACAGCCTTGGCTTAGGCTAAGCCTTTTTCAATAAAACATAAAAGATAAATAATTCAAAATATGACAAGTTAATTACCATACAATTAGCTACTTCGGTTTATTAATAAAAAAAATTCAATTAACAAAATTTTTGATTGGTTGTCTTCGCTACCATTAGTTGTTCTAGAGGTGTAAATGTGTTAAAATCAAGCTAGAGTAGTCTTTGCTTAGGGTTAAGGTTTGACCACTAAGTAATCAAGCTCAAGCTCAATCTCAATTCAATGGGTTCTAGCAGGCTGACCAACCAGTTATTCTTCATGCAAAAGAGAGAAGATGATAGTGAATTAATGGATTTGACCCTGGAAACACTGAAAACTTGGTAGATAAAAAATGGAACATGAACGGGATAAAAAAAAATACAACAAAAGCCTTTATCCCATTAAGTGGGTTTGGCTACATGTATCCTTTTTCTCTATCATGACCTATTGAGGGTCATATTTTCATTTAATTCTAGTAAATTAGGATTGTTTTTTATATAACATGCCAAGTCTTTAGGTCTACCTCTACCTTTTGTAACATAAGTTGAATCTAAAACATCTACTCTCCTAATCGGATCAATGTGACCAAACTATTTAAGACGACTCTCCCTAATTTTATCTGCCACTGGAACTACACCAACCATTTCACGTATACATTCGTTTCACATTTTGTCTCTAAGAGTCAAGACACTCATCCATCAAAGCATTATCATCTCAGCAACATTTAACTTAATTCTATGCTTCTTTTTTATAGGCCAACAACACCTTGTGCCATAAAGCATTATAGGTCTCACCAACATCTTATAAAATTTTCTTTTAAGTCTAAGCGGTACTTTTCTATCACACAATAAGCTCGATGCATTCCTCCACTTCAACCATCCAACTTGAATTCTACTAATTACATCCCCATCTATATCACCATCACTTTGAACAATAGCCTGAGATATCTAAAATGTTCATTCCTTTTAATGATTTGATTACTCATTCTGCCACTAGGTCTACTACTACTAAAATTGTATTCCATGTTTTTAGTTTTAGTCTACTCAAACGAAGGCCTTTAGACTCTAATGTAGTTCATTATTTAAGTTTATCATGAACTCTTTCTCTAATCTTATCCACAAGAAAGATATCATCAGCGAAAAGCATACACCATGGTACATCATCCTGTAAATGTCCAGTAAGTGCGTCCTTAATTAAAGCAAAAGGATATGGGCATAACTCCGATCCCTGATGTAATCCAACTGAAATAAAAAATTACTTGCTCAATCCTCCTGTTCGAAAACAAGTAACATCTCTAGTGCACATATCTTTAATGACTTGAATACAAGCCTTATCAGCACCTTTCTTTCCTAGAACTCTCCAAAGAATCTCTTAAACCTTATCGTATGCTTTTTCTAAATCAATAAAAATCATATGTAAATCCTGCTTATTCTCTCTATACTTCTCCATCAAACCTCTCAATAAATGTATAACTACCATAATAGACTTGCCCGACATAAATCCAAACTGATTATGAGAAATCTTCGCATCACATCTTAACCTATGTTCAATTACTCTATCCCATAATTTTATATGTATGACGCATTTGTTGACCTCATTTTTAGTGAGGTCTTAGCCTCCTAATCTTAGAACCTAGGATCTAGCCTTAGGAGTTCCTGGTTGACCATCCTAGCGGACTAGTAATGGAGCCCACCTCCCATAGAACTTCAAACCGCTTCTTTACTCATTTTTTTTTGTGAAAACCACAATATCATTGGGATATCATCAAGTCCTGCTAATTTTCCACCTTTGATTTTCTTTAAAGCCTCCTTAACTTCATTTTTGCTAATGTGACTGTAAAAATAAAAAGTTTTATTGTTATTAACAATATTAAAATCACTAAGAATGATCATAACTTCAAAAACTTAAATAAAATGTTTATCAAAATAACTCACCCAACTAATTTAAATATCTTATTCTAAGAAAAGCGCTTTTTTATTTTCATTTTTTAATACACTTTACTTGAATTAAATCTTTACTTTACTTTTATTTTTTTAACAGTATTTACATATATCTTTCACCCTCTTTAATATATAGCTATTATAAATATCACTAAAAGCAAAATTCACAGCATCACAAATTATTCACTTTGACTCCCTACAGGCCATCTTATATTTTTTAGAGTTCTCTAAGGTTTTGGATTTAAGCAAATTTTTAAACAAAACTTTTATATTTTATCTTTTCTTGCACATTATGATCACACCACCAAATATTTATATTTAGAAAAACCATTTTTTTATTATCCAAGAACACCTTTTTTAATAGTACTTGTTTCTTTTTCTACATAAAATTAGCTTCTTCATGAACATCCAAAATCTTGAAATTTACACAAAAAGTAATTTTAGTTGTCTTTTAGGTACCCCTATCTAATTCTATAGCAATATCTCATTGCATTTTTTATTTTCCAACTCATCTTAAAATTCATAACTAAAAATCAATGTTGAATACTCAAATTTTCACTTGAAATGGCCTTACAATTTTTATATTCTTGACGATCTACCTTTCTCATAAGAAAATAATACATTTGTGTTTTATTAAATCCATTCTTATGAGTAATAATATGCTCATCTATTTTCTTAAATAAAATATTAGTAATATAAAAATCATAAGCTAAAATAAAATCAAATATGATTATATCTTCTACATCAACTACTCAAAATCCGTAGCCACCATGAATATTTCTAAATTTTCCACCACGCAACCAAAATGACTATTTAAATACCCTCAAATAAAAATTATTTTTTCAAGATGTATCATTTATATTAATTCTTTCAGGCCATTTCAAAATTTTTTCTTTTGAACCTATATCTAAACCTACTTGAGAAACATAGGTACTTAATAACATTAATAATAGTATTAACAAAAATTTTTAGGACTATAATTATATCTCTAATTCTATTTATTTTTACAATAATATCATTTAAATTTTTATCTCTAATTACACCTACACTATTTCTAGTGTGACTCCTGCGTGAAAACTAAAGCTTAAAACCTAAGCTATCAATCTCCTTAGTTTTTTCTCAAACTCATTTAATTTATTGAATACATAAGAAATTTATCTTCTTATGAACCATAATATCTACTAATTCCATTAATTTACCTGCAAGAGTGCCTATATTCCAAGATCTTATCCTAAAATTAATTTTATGAACCAACTTTTTTGCCCACATTTGTTCATAATATGAGAATCCTTGTTTATTTAACACTACAACCGGACGTCAATATAGCAACAATAAAAAAATAGTAAAAAAAAAAAAAAAATAGAAAGCAAATATTTCCTACATATTCACTCTTTTGAGTTAAAAACTTGAATTCTAATGTTTATAGTAATAATTCTATTTTGAGATTGTCAAATGAGTTAGTTCAATCTTTGAATAAGAACTTGAGTTCTAGTCTTTAGATGTATATTCTCTTTTGAGAATGTCCAATGAGTTAAGCTCACAAGACAAGTTAAGTCATGGTTCAAACATAGCTCATTAGTCATTTTGCACAGGCATATGCAAATCCATACAAATATAATAAAAATGAGCATGGAGAGAATGAATGATAAAGTTATCACTAAAACTAGAGCCGGCCCCACTTAGTGGGATAAAGACTTGTTGTTGTTGTTGTTATTGCCGTTGGTGTATGAATAAAGCTATAAATACTCTCATAGAGATTGACAAACTAATTAGTAAGTGTTATACTATAGTGATAAAATCATGGTGCTTTCTGTTACATGATTTTTACAAATATCAAAATTGTGATATGAAGGATTATTAAGAAAAAAAACCATTTAAAAGCATTGCAGACGAGTCTTACACACACACACAATAATAATAATAATAATAGAAAAGAAAAAGTAAATTCAATCTATCCAAGTAATTCAGTTTCCAGCCCTACCTAAAACCTCTTACATAATGAAAGTAGATATTTGGCAAGCCACTTTTATTGATGTGCTTGGTCAAGCAAAATGTGGAGATAATGACAAATGCATATATTTTTCTTTGACATTAGTTTGTGGTTAAATTCACTAGGTTTGGTGAGGTATCTAAGTGCAGCTAGGTGTTTTGTGAACTTTCATCATCACTTTCGATAGGGAAATTTACAAATGTACCACACAATTCTTGTCAATTTACATTTATAACATCTTGGTGTTATAAAACCTATGCATAAAAAAATGCATTTTGACTTTTACAAAGTCAGTAAGAGTGATATTTTTGATGTGATTGTAATCATTTGAGTGTTATGAATGTAAATATTAAAGTTTAGGTGTTAGATATGTACATAAGAATTGTGTGGTATCATAAGAATTGTGTGGTAAAGAATTGTGTGGTATGCATGTAAATGTCCCTTTTCTTTATTGAGATCAGTTACTTCTCGTATAAGAACTCTTATCTTTGCAAAGTAAATAAATAAATAGAATCTTAAACTATAATCTCTGATTAGCTTGATCAATTAACACTTTTTCAAACAATAAATCATAGCCCAAAACTCCCAATCATAACATATCAAGGAAATCGAATGATGCTAAAAAAAAAAAGGAGAAAGAAAAACAGCATGAACAAATTCAAGCATGACAATGCCAGGATCACAAATATCTCAGATTGCTCTCAAAACGGAACCTAATGCAATAGTAAAACTAAAAGATCAATTTGACCAAATGGGACACATATAACTATGCAAAATAAACATATAGACCAAGATTCAAGAAAAAGATGGAATTAAAAATTCCAATGTTTAATATGTCAAAAAGTTCAAACCTTTCAACAGCCTTTTTCTCTGAATGTTCACTAGTAAAGGCTCCCTCATCCAGAGATTCAGGTTCAGGTGGCATGTCATTTGAAGAATTAGCTACAGGTAATGTGTAAATCAATGATGACAACAACGGATCTGGTGCTGCAGAAAGAGGGGCACTTGAATGGGACCAACCCCCAAGAAGGGCTTGTGCATTAGTTTCCCTCAGTTCCTTTCTCAGGAGGGAAAGCGTAGAATGAGAACCCAAGGCGCCTCTCCGGAACCTTCTACTCTTATGTATGTAATTACCAGTTAAGAAATCATATAAAAAAAACATAAGCTAAATTCATACAAAAAATACCAATAACTTTATGAATAGAGAAATACGCATAATAAGCACAAACACAAGTTTTTAAGCCTGCAATAAGAATGGATCGGCCAAAAAAAGCAGCAAGGATATCTTAAAGAAATTTCCATGTTCCATTGTAAGGTGACCAACCAAATCCACACCAGCTCTTGATCCACATATCGGACAAATCTGCAAAAGAAACAAGAACCACACCAGTTCAGAACATTGAAACTCTAACATTGATTGACAAAAAATCAATCAAAACACAGAAGTAGGCAGATTGTTTTAAATAGAAGATGATAAATCCAAAACCCTTAATTGAAGCATTAATAGTTATTGGTTGTACTCATGATGAAGAAGAAAAACAAGAAAAAATGAATTATAAGTGACTGCCGTGGTGTAAAAATACATTGAATGTGCAACAAATTAAATTTTTAATTCTCATTCAAGTTTCTAGTGTGAAAAAATATCAAGCTATACAGGAAAAAAAATTTAAACATTATAAAAAAGGATGAGAGGTAGAAGATAGAGGGTAAATAGAAATCATGAATATGTATATGACCTATTCAAACTATCAAGTGTTTTAGACGAGCAAGAAAATGCATTCAAATTCAGAAAATCATATTCATCATCTTCATGAATAATGCTCCCACTAAACATTCAAAAAAGTTGAATAGACAACAAATTAATACACAAGCCAAACCAAACAAGCAAATCAGGATATCTGGGGAAACTTCCCAATAATGCTTTCAAAGATGTAACTCTTTCACATTCAAGGATCAATCATCATTGTGAACAAAGTATAGCATCAGAGAACAGTGTCACAATATCAAACCAAATAATATTATACTAATAATCACTACTTCACAAAGGAATAAAAATCCATGACATAAAGATGATGCAGAAGGTGAAGAAATGAGTAGGCATGATGATCATAATCAATCTTTAATGGAACTAAACGCCACAAAATTACTGAAAACTGAAATAGCTGGACATTAGCCCGATGCCATTCTTTTATGCAGTTAAAAAAAATGCCATAAAAACAATTTGGATAGAAAAACAAAAACAGAGCTTGAAACTAGCATAAAAAATAATATGAAGGGGGAACATAATTTAAATATTAATCAAGAGAGGAATAAGAACATAGTATTGCACACATAAAAAGAAAAAAATAATTAAGTGCATAAGTTGGCCACTGTATCCAAGGAAATCCAGGAAAACAGCATGCATTGAAGCCAGCAAGTTCTACCGTATCACATATCAGCCTGTTTCTAGCACATGACAAGGCAACAACGTAAATAAATTGGGGCTCGGTTGATTGGGTAAATGCAACATCAATCTTGAAAGATTCATCTAACAGACAAGCTATTGTAATTATTCAACCACAATCTGCTAACACTTTTCATTTCGTTGTCCTGCTGCAATCCTGACTGTACACCTGTCATGTTATGATAACAAACTCTGACCTTTTGTTATCAGTCTCATTCTCTAAGCTTTTACAAGCTGGAATGATTGAAGAGAAAAAAATTCAATTTCCCTTCTAACTCTTACTGTAACTGCAGATGTTTCCTATTATGAATTCTCGCTGGTGATTCTGTAGACTGCTGAACATAGGAGTTTACATAGTATAAGATCAAATACCTTACAGTTTATTCACCTCAGCCTACAGTACGACTCACTGCACTTCTAGTTCCTGGTTTTCCATACTATGCTCTTTCCTCTATCCAAATAGATAGCTCTGCCACTTCAGCAATAAATCCTCAAACTAGTTTTTTATTGCAGTCAGCTGGTCATTCTATTTCCTCCCAGTTAAAAGTTGTCATGCTCAATATTAAAAATTTTATCCAAATTCATCCAACCCTTGAAAATTCTCCTACCAGTAAATCTGAACTTCTCAAATTATTTCGAGCTAACGGGTTTTAAGAATACTTAGATGGCTCTATTCCACCATCGACAGCCACTATCCTCACAAAAAATAGCTCATTTGTTCCAAATCCACAAAATAGCCTTTGGATCTTCATAGATCAAAATTTGGCATCAACTCTTTCTTATACCATTTCACAACTTATTCTGCCATATATTTTTAATTTTGATTCCTATGCTGAAATCTGCATAACACTGAATGCCGATTACAATCCACTAACCACGCTTGTCTCATTGCTCCATCTTATGTCCATAGGAGTTTTTCTCAAATTAAAGCTAAGGTTGATCTTGTAGCTGCCACTGGAGCTCCGCTAGATACCAAAGACATTATTCTATGCACTCGAAATGGCAGACCGCTCAGTTATCAAGCATTTAAAAGTACCATCAAGACATAGCTTCAACCAATTATCTTGGATAATTTATATTCATTTTCATGTAGTGAAGAACTAACCCAGTGACTAAAACAGCTCAAGCAGCTCAATTCTCTACCTTGCAGGACCCTAATCTCGCGTTGGCTGCAATTAGAGGTAGATTCAAAGGCCGTGGAAACTATTCTAACTCAGCTCATGGCCGTATCAATAGAACGAGAGGTCCAAACACTCCCAAAGCTGATGTTGACTATCAAATTTATGAAAATTTGGTTCAAATTTATGAAAATTTGGTCATTCAACAACCCACTGTTGGCATCGAACAAATATATAATATAATTCTTCATCCCTGCAAACCCATGCTGTCAGTTCCTCTGAGCAGAATCTAAAATGGCTATTTGAATCTGGTGCCACCTCACACTAAATTGCTGATAGAGACCAGATTTCCCGAATCCAACCCATACAATGGCTCGGATCAGGTAATGTTAGGCAATGATCAAGACATGCCAATTGCAATAACAATAAAATGACTTCTAGCTACACCAAGTTGTAAGCTCAAGTTATACCCTACTTATCATGTTCCACATTTTTCTCATAACCTTAATTCTATTTATAAAGTAGCCCGTGATAATCATTGTTCTATTTTATTTGATGCTCATGGTTTTCACATAAAGGACCATATGGTTAATCACACATTTCTTCAAGTCCCCAATCATAATGGCTTGAATCTGATCCACCATCTACCCAAACATCTGCCTACCACATTTTTCGTGTGCATTAGCCACAAACTGGCACCGCCATCTGGACCATCCATCAACTGCAATTCTACTCAAATTGTTATATGTTATTCCAACTCTCAAAAAATTTTTTACTTATTCTACTTGTAATACAAATCAAAATCCTAAAAGTCTTTGTTTATTGTTTACTTTATCCCAAGCTCATAGTTCTACTCTATTAGAAAACATTTACACTGATGCATGGGGTCAGTCTCCTATAACTTCCATTCTAGGATTTAAATACTATATCTCTTTTATCGATTTTAATCTTGATTTTGTTGGGTTTTTCCTATGCGATGTAAATCTGAAGCTCTCTCTTGCTTCCTTAAATTTAAAACTATTGTTGAGAAATAATCCACCAACCAATTAAAAATCCTTCGATCAGATGGAGGAAAATAATGCAATAACTCAATTCAAACTTTTCTAAATCAGTCCGACATGCTTTATCTGTATTTGATTCTTTAAAAAATGGAGTCGTTGAACGTTAACATCACCATACTCTAGAAAGGTGTACACTTTTCATTGATGCACACCTCTTTTAGTTTGATGCACTTCTAACAGCCGCATATCTCATTAATTGCTTGTCTTCTCCAAAGACAAACTACACAGCTCCATCCTATATACTTTATTACAAGCACAATAACTACAACTTCATTTGAACCTTTGGATGTCTGTGTTATTCTTAGATTCAACTTTATTCTCTAAATAAATTTGCTCCTTGCTCTGCTTCATGTGTGTTTCTTGGGAATGCTTCCAACTAGAAAGGTTAGAAAGGTTAAAAAGCCAAAAAAATGGTAAGCTTGTCATCTCCAGGCATGTCATCTTTCATTAATATATTTTCCCGTACTGAAAACTCTCCTCAATAAACAAAGCTCCATTATCAGCTAGTCCACTTCATTTCCCACTTCCTCTCTTCTATCCTATACCTTTACCACTTCTCTACTTCAAGCCCAGATCATCCCACTCTTCAAGGACAGCAAACACAACCATCAAATTCTCCTTTTCATTCTTCAACCGACACTAATTACCATATTGCCGCATCCATCTTGAAAGATTGATCTCATAACTCGAAGTAGATTGAAAGTGTCGCAGATGTGCGTTATACACGACTACAACTCAAAACACACTGAAAACTTACTGATGGTACAAAATACATGCAAAAAATCAGCCCGCTATAACATACCTGCAGGATTTAAATAGGTATAAACAATTTCTGCAATTATAAGATTAAAAATCTAACTGCCAGCAAATGTTCCGAATCAGAAAAGAAAGCATACCCCACTATTAGCTTCCTGAGGATGCTCGTCATCGATGTGACTACAAAGCACTCCGATATCGAAATACTCAGAGCAAAACGGGCAGAAAAATTCCGCACAAGAGTCGTCTTCAATTCCATCAACCTCTTCTGCGCCAAGGTGGAGATCTATCCCCAAAAAGAACCACAACAACAAACTTCAAAGCTCGAAATCCCTAAAACGTAACAAAGAAGGCAATAATCAGTGTTAGGAGGCCTCACCATATCTGGATTGCGGGCATAACTGATGTCGCTTCGAAGAAGCAGAAAACAATCGGCTCCAAGGATCAGCCTCCATTGTTCAAGAAAACAATCACCAGACTCCCTCTAGAATCCTTACCGATGCAGCTCCAATGAGTGATGCCACCCGAAAAGGAAATCACTATCCAGAATGACAAATTTGTTCCAATTTAACAGATGTTTGGGAGAAGCCAAGGAAGAGCTAGGCCTCCTCAGTCCTCACCCGGAAGAGAGGGAGCCCTAAAAAGAAGATGAGGATGGCAGCAAGTACGAACACCACCGACCCCGTTGGCTGGCACTCCTACGACTTACGAAATGGCCTTGAACTTTAACATAATATCGAAAATGCTAATAAGATCTGTATCGTCCATTTAAGCATGAGCCTATAACGTGCGGAGCAAGGCGGAGTAAGTCCGCAAGTCAAACAGGTAAACCCCTGGTGAAGCAAGCTGGCGGCTGAAAAGCATTCGGTAATTTATTGCCGCCGTAAGAAAATGTTCATTGTCTCGATTATGTTCGGCTATTTTAATATATATACATATATATTTATGTTTGTCTATTTTTATATATATATATATATATATATATATATATAATACTTTATATATATTTATATATAATGCAACACTCAATATTTATTTTTTAATTAATTTAAACATGTTAGTTTTCAATATTTATGAGCAATTTTGAACATGAACCAACCTAAATAATTTCAAACGAGCTGAGCAGGAGGCTACTCTTTAACAACCATATATAAAAAAAAGAACAGAGAAAGCACAATGAAGAATAACAAAATTGCGAACATTTATTCTTGAATTGAGTCCCTAATGGGGGCCGTGAGATTACATATGTGCCCCTAATAAAATAGGTACGTTAGTGGTATTTTTGGGAATATATAGTTGCCATATATAAGAAAAAGAACAGAGAAAGCACAATGAAGAACAACAAAATTGTGAACATTTATTCTTGAATTGAGTCCCTAATGGAGGTCGTGAGATTACATATGTGCCCCTAATAAAGTAGGTACGTTAGTGGTATTTTTGGGAATATATAGTTGTAAGGCCTGGAGTTAAGGCCTGGAGCCTGAAATAGCGTTCGACTGGGTTATAAACCGGGTGGATTTGGGTTGAGAGCTTTACATGGCGTCCAACTAGGCGTCCAACTCGGTTATGATCCATAAAGCTATGACAGAAAGGTTGATAGGAAGGTGTCAGGGCCTGGATGAGGAATCCTAGCGGATTATCCGTGTGAGGTTCGTCTGGATGACCCTTTGAGTTCGACGTGTAAATACAAAATATAGAACTGCCCCCGGTGGGTACCAGCCCGCCACGACACCTTCTATGCTAGCTATTTGATTTCTTAGAGATCATGTTGACACATTTTTTATGTATATATTTACGTTTTAAGATGTCAGATCCAAATTTGTCTGAGAGCCACATCTATGGAATAGAACACAAAAGTGAGGAAAAGAGCAGAGTAAGCACAACAAGGAACTGTAAAATCACGAAAACTTTATTCATGGAACGAGTCCTTATTTATAGAAATGTTAGATCCAAATATGTCAGAGAGTCACACCTATGGAATAGAACACCAAATGAAGAAAAAGAGCAAAGTAAACACGAGAAGGAACAGTAAGATCGCGTAAACTTTATTCATGGAATGAGTCCTTATTTATATAAATGTTAGATCCAAATATGTCAGAGAGTCACATCTATGGAATAGAACGCAAAAGGAAGAAAAAGAGCAAAGTAAACACAAGAAGGAACAGTAAGATCGCGTAAACTTTATTCATGAAACGAGCCCCTATGTATAGGAATGAGGGTCATGAGATTACATCCATACCCCTAGTAAAGTAGGTATGATAGGGGATATTTTGGTATAGTTTTAAGGTCAAGAGCCTGAAATGGTGTCTGACTGTGTTATGATCTGGGTGGCTATGGGTTGGGAGCTTGAGGTTGCGTTCAACCGAGTTAAGATCTGGACGACCATGGTTGAAGGGTTGACCAGGAGGAGTCGATCGCCTGCTTAAGATTCGGGTGGCTCCAAACATCTGCCCCGCATGGATGAGGAATCCTGGCAGAATGTTCGTGTGAGGTTTGTTCTTGTGACCCTTTAAGAGAATAGTTGATTTCCATCCGTCATAGAGTTATATTTCTCCAGGCCAGTAGAAGCCAGACAAGTAAATGTGGACTCTTGAATTGCTCCTGGGGTCCTAGCTCGCCCATCACCTTCTCTAATGGCTGGCTGCTGGATTTCCTTGAGATTCATGCTGACACATTTTTTATGTGTGTGTGTGTATGCGCGTATATATATATATATATATATATAGATATATACATTGTATATCTAATAATATGAGTAACAAGAAAAAAAATACTTTTTCGTTTTGTTTCTTAGAACTTTAAATCATTATAAAAGTGTTTAAATAAGTTTAATTCAAAATTTGTTTTGATTATGTTTCAAACACCTAATTCAAATTGCAGGGAAAGTTTCTTAGAACTTTAAATCATTATAAAAGTGTTTCAAAATTTGTTTTGATTATGTTTCAAACACCTAATTCAAATTGTGGGGAAAGAGAATATTTATTCTCTATGTATTGGGGGATTGACAATATATGCAATAGAGCATATGAAAGAAGATATTGCAAGACCATGGTGTGTATGTGTGTGTGAAGAATTCATAAGAAGGCATCATGGGATATGCATTGTGGTGAAGGGTGACAGGAGGGGCAATTCGTGGGAAACACATTTCATGACTAGTGAAGTGTACATTATAGCTTATGGGAGACAACATTACATGATTGGTGACTAATGCCTAAAATTGATGTGAAGCAATTAGTCAATCACGCAATTGCATGTGTCAACTAAAAATATATATAGATTTCGAGTCCACATATTAATTTCACAAAGAAACTTGTCAAATTTTCTAACAAGGGAAGTTCTAACTTATAAAACTGCTAAGTATTGTTTGAAGGTTCAGTTTTGCAAGAGCAAACAGTCCTAAAACATATAGAAAACTGTATAAAATTCATAGAAAGTGGTTATGAGGCCCATGCTCCTATGACACTGGTATATTGTATCTTTTTTGAGTTCCTTTGTGTGATGGTTGACAACCAAGAATAAAATCACCCTCAGCTTATGTCTAAGTCATAAAAACAGTTGGAAATTATATTACAATTAAGAAGGATTTAACTATGCACCATTTCTCAGGAATCCTCTAGTCCCTCATCTCGGTTGTGCTCTCCTACTGGCAATATGTCTATTTTACCAGATGAATATGTGTTAATCTACTTGTTATTCTTGTCAATGGTTAGAAATCCTAAATCACAAGGAGTTATAACTTTCTAATTGATCAGCTTAGAAGAAAATGACGATCAAAAGGTTAACACATCAACATACGAAAATAAAGGCAGGAAAAACGTATTCGGGAAAAAATAAACTCTGAGCGAAAGCAATAAGAAAAACCCTATGCTTACATCACATGAGCATGGAAAAGAATTTGCTACGAGACATGAGGTAGAAACACACATCAACTTTCATTAAATTGATTGAAGATACAAACAAAAGAAAGCATGCAAACATATAATCAAGCCAAGTTTTCTCTATAAAACACTGAATCCTCATCGTACAATGAAAGCATTCCATGATTTCCCACATACACAACCTGAATCTCTTTCACACACAAAGAACCATCCATGAAAGTAATATAAGTTGAAATATTTGAAATATTGTTTACTTTTAATACCTGAATCATTTTAGACTGATTAGCCTTGAAGCACATCAACATATTATAATCACGATAACGCTCTCAATAGCTAGCAAACTCATGCATACCACACCTCGCAATAGCTAGTGTTTACCAATTCCTTCTATAGTTGCTCTAATTCTCTTGGAATTCTTCGAAGGGTTACTTAAGAATTTACTTTATTAGTTTCATGTGCTATCTATAACTGCCCATTTAATGTGTTGATCATTATGATATATGTGAATCTTTTTTAGGTTTTTAGGCTTCCACTAAAATTTCATATATTGAAAGTTATCAAACTGTTTGATACTTTCAATAATCATAGTTATTTTAATAATGACTTATCAAATTTAATGGAGGGAATAATTGATTTTAGTTGCTTGATAGTGTAAAGAATGGATGTCAATTTCTATGAATAAGCTAAGCTCTTCTTTATTTTTCTTAAATCAAGAGGTGTTGATACAATTGTATAGATAAAACTTTTCTATATTTTAAAAGGCATTATTATGTTTATAAGCTTTTAAGTATGTTAACCTTTTTATTGTTGAAAATTTATTAAGGCAAAAAAAAGCTTTTGTGTAGCATTTAATTCCATGACATCTTTAAAACCTCCTCATTTAAGTTTCAAGTTTCAAAATTTTCATAACTTCAACTTTTTAATAGATTGATTATATATGCTTTAAGTTAGTATTTTATTGCTTGTGAATACATCTTTTTGAGTTAGAAATGAAGTTTTTAATAAGTAGTTTGTTGATCTCCTATGCTCATAGTCTAGAGTACTCAATTTTAGTGATAGTAATCTTACATGGGAAAGTGCCTTAATGACTTATTTGGGAATTATGTTGAGCCATATGTTTAAGCTATTAAGATTACAAAGCTTATATATATGCAATTGAATTAGGATTGTTGGGTGCAAGATTACTAATATAGTACACCATTTAGATTAATCAAATAAAGCCAAAGGGCTAATTATAAGATCCCAAGCAAGTTCCAAAGAAAAAGCCCATTCAAAGCTTATTATAAGAGCTAATCATGAAGAAATAATTAGATTTTATATTTCAAAATTTTCTATATTTTTGAATTATCAAATATTGGATTTTTATGGGCTCGTCGCAATAAAAAATAATTAATTTAGGAAGGTGGTTGAAACTTTCCTTCATTAACGACTACCCACCTTTCTCTCCAAAGCCTTTCTCATCTCTTTTTTATTTTATTTTATTTTATTATTTTGGTCAATGCAATCCTTATAAAAGATGAGTATGTATTAATTTTTTTAATTTTTGGAGTGTGATATTTGAAGTATGAATTTTCTCTTTTTTTTAATGTTCGGTATTTTCAAATGTGTGCCTTTTTTATGGGCGAGAATAAGTATTTATATTTTTTCCATTAACTCTTCATTCTCCTTTTATAAAACCTACTCTAAGCTCTTCACTACTATTTTCTTATATCATAAACATCTTCTTACATGAATAAAGTAGCTACCGAAGCCTCTCTACCAATCCAAACACCTTCTCATAGCTCTTAAC